TTTGACCTCTGACGTGACCCTCTATGGGATGTTGTTAGATAATACTATCAATAGTGTTGCGAGTATGCGAGCAGATCTTAACTTCTAATCTGAATTAGATTGCATGAATTTATGACCAACACGAAATGTAAAATTTCATATCATTACTTACTAAACATTCTCCAACTCGAAATCAAATCCCCACAAACCAATATCATTTCCTCAAACCTTGAAAATTTGACCCCATGAAAATATGTGATTTAAAAGTATATAATTATTTACTTTTCCATGTATTCTTAACAAATTGGTGACGGTTCAGGTCCTTTAGTCTCTTTTCTTATACTAAACTACATTATTTTTTACAGTAGGTGTATATCTGCATGTGGCAATTGCAATCACATTTTAGGGCATGAACAAGTTTGGCATGGATTCATTGATATTGTCTTCTCTCCACATCTGGGAATTCCTGCTATAGCAAGCACTGTGTTGGATAGGGAAGAAAAGATTTCCAAAAAAAGAAAAGTTGAATGTGAACAAGATGGTAAGGATTATAAGATTTATTTAACTCCATTTTAAATATATTTTGTCATATCTACAATGATAGTAATAGATAAGAATCAAATTATGTACACTGGACCTTCAGATATCTGGACCCCTGATATCCGGATGCTTCAGTATTTTGATGATTTTTTTCATGGGAACGGAATTTTTTAACGTTATTTTGTCTTGTTGAACTGTAGCTGCAGATCTGTAGCCTTTTGGTTTGTCTTTGACCATAATCCTACAGATCCTTTAATGCAAAAAAAGGTGCAATTTTTGATGCTATATTTTTTGCGCACTTTTTGGGAGATAAGTGTTTGTGCTGAAGCACTATTGTTTTGTTTGGTCTAAATAGTGATAGTGACAAATAGGAATGTATTATCACTGGCAGGTACAGGCAAGTAAATATTAAGTAAACTTAAGGATTTGTTACCAAGTTGTAGACTACTTGTAATTTATTGATCCCTGAGCATCATTTCTCTTGATTTTAGGCATTTGATATTCATCTATCAGTTTATTTATTTTACACTTTAATCTATGAATCTTTGACAGTGTTTTATTATACTCTTTGACCATTAAGGCCCATGGGCCTCTTGTATTACAATAAGATACATTCATCTATTAAGATTTGCCTTTTGAATTTCAGAAACACAGAACGATGATTCTTCAGGTCAGAGGTCAACAGAGGTCAAGCAGCATTCACTGTCACAAGCAATAGCACAAACAATTGTGTATTCTCTAGTTGAAAAGCAAAAACACCCAAATTTTTTACATCACATGATACCAAATATTGTTATTTCCCCGGAAAAGGTGGAAATTCTGATGTATGATGCAGATAGTGATGTTTTACTTTGCAGCAATCCAATTCTATTATTCAATTTAGATCTTCCAGAAGAGAGAACCCTTATTGATGAGACTGTTATTATTCTGTGGATGGTTTTACATTACAGAATATTTTGCACTGGATTCAATAAGGCAAAACCTTATGTACTTGAAAGATGTAAATCAAATTTTAGACAACTTGTTGCAAGTAAGTGGGATATCTATTCAAAATCCTTGAAGAGCTTTGTTTCTGGTTTCCCTTCTGTAGAAAAATGGCCGATAAGTAAGTTAGTTCAGTGTGGTTTAACACTTGAATTTGAGTCGGATGACTTTTAAAATGCCAATTTTACAAAATGAAGGCTTATCAATTCCAGTCATAAAGTAATGTTTGTAAAAAAATTTTAATGATGTGTACCTGTTATAGAATTAAAGTTTTCTTATATCAAGTATTCATCTTTTTTTAAAGCTGTTGTTGCATCTATTATGGTTTACCGAATGGGCATGGCGAACACAAGCAAAGTTGTACATATGCCATAGATTCAATGTTGGATTATAACAGTATTTCAGTGATCTTCCCTTACTCCCTGGCACATCTTTATGTGTCATTGTGTAGTGCCTATTTGGATATTTGTACTACAAAATTAGACAACAAAAAACCACAGACAGTTGAGTGCTGAATTTGTTTCCGATAATCAATCCCAACAAGTTTACAATTCTGCAAGAAAGCCAAATTAGATAGATGCATCATCTGTACTTTTCAACATATCATGTAAATGTACCAAGAATATCCTACTAGTATATGTATGATGATTGATCCAAAAGTAATGTCACATTGTCCCTATTTTTTGGGTCACCTGAGTAAACTCAGGTGACCTATTGCTATCCATTTTCGTCCGTCGTCGTGTGCTGTGTGTCGTGCACTAACATTTGAACATTTTCAGCCTCTTCTTTGCAACCACTGAACCAATTTCAACCAAATTTGGCACAAAGCATCTATGGCTGAAGGAAAACAAAAATTATGAATTCATGATCCCTGCCCCCCTCGGGCCTGAGGGGTGGAGCCAAAACCACTAAAATTAATGCAATCTTTACAAATCCTCTTCTGTACTCCTGGATATCAAGCAATCAAACTGTTAGCATGATTGTAATCAACATTTAGTCCTCTACCAAAATTGTGAAATTCATGGCCCTGGGGTCAGGGGTTCTAGTTCTAGGGTGTGGCTAAATAAGTATATACATGTAGTGAAAAAGCATTATTTCTTTGAAAATTTTCTTCTCTGCTCCTGGGTATTTAATAAACCAACTAAGTACATAGTTATGATGAGTAAGAATGCCTCTACAAAAATTGTGAATTTTATGGCCCCAGGTTCAGGGGTGTAAGAGCGGGACTCTATTGATTATAAAGTGAAAATACATGAATTCTTTGAAAATCTTCTTCTCTGCTCCTAGGTATTATATAGATTAACTAAGTGCATAGTTATGATGAGCAAGAGTGCCTCTACCAAATTTTTGAATTTTATGGCCCCAGGGTCAGGGGTTCTAGTGTTAGGGCCGGGCTCTATTGATTATATAGTGAAAGTACATGAATTCTTTGAAAATCTTTTTCTCTGCTCCTACATATTAAATAAACTAACCAAGTGCATAGATATGATGAGCAAGAGTGCCTCTACCACAATTGTGAATTTTAGGGCCCCAGGGTCAGGGGTTCTGATGTTAGGGCAGGCTCTATTGATTATATAGTTAAAATGCATTAATCCTTTGCAAATCTTCTTCTCTGCTCCTAGGTATTAAATAAACGAACTGAGTAAATAGTTTTGAAGAGCAAGAATGTCTCTACTAAAATTGTGAATTTTATGGCACAGGGGTGAGGGGTTCTGGTATATATTTTAGGGCTTTATTGATTATATAGTGCCCCGAGGGGGGGGGGTGAATTCTCTGAAAATTTTCTTCTCTGCTCCTGGGTATTAAGCAGATAAACTACCTCTATAGTTATGAACAAGGGCCCTAATCTTCCAGAATTGTGAATTTCAAGGCCCCAGCGTGAGGGTACCATAGAGGGGGAGGGGGGGGGGGGCTGTACTTATAGACTGAAAATGAATGGTTTGAAATCTGCTTTTTGGTATTAATTAGATATTTTATAAAAGCAAGGATGCCTTTTCAAAAATTGTGCAATGTGTGGATCTAGGCCTAAGGGTGAAGGTATTCATGTGTGGTATATTTAAATATTTTTTTGTAGAATGTAAGAGACAAACACGTTAATAATATCTAAGAATGTGCCTAATCGGCCAAACATTTTTAAGACAATATTTACGTATTTTTAATGATTAGTTAAAAATCAAATGACGTCATTTCTATTTTTGATTATAAACAATCCTGTTTTACTATAGATGCATTGAACAAAGGACGTGTAAAAAAGGCGGTGACGGTGGTCGCAATGAGCTGCAATACTTTTGCATTTTTACTTCAAATGGGGAAATTATGGGTAGGGAAATTTACATTGGCTTTTAGCTTACCTGAGCCAAAGGCTCAAGTGAGCTTTTCTGATCACAGGGGTTCTTGTCTAGGGTGTCCGTTCGTATGTCCGTAGTAAACTTTTCATTTTCGACTTCTTCTCTGAACCCTGGGCCAATTTTAACCAAACTTGGTACAAAGCATTATGTGTGAAAGCGAATTTAAATTGTTAAAACGAAGGGCCAAATCCCCTCACAAGGGGAGATAATCAAGAAATTAACAAAAATAGGGTGGAATCTTTCAAAATCTTCTTCTCTGCTCACTGGTATTATATAGATTGACGCTTAGGTGGAAGCATACTGGGGTAGTGTAGATTCTAAATTGTTCAAATCATGACCCCAGGGGGTAGGGCGGGGCCACAATGGGGAATCAAAGTTTTACAGAGAAATATATAGGAAATTTTTTTGAAAATCTTCTGTGCTCCTACATCTGCCAGAATCAAGCATCCTGGGGTAGTGTAGATACTAAATTGTCAATCATGACCCCAGGTGGTAGGGCGGGACCACAATGGGGAATCTAAGTTTTATATAGAATTATATAGGAAAATCTTTGAAAACTTCTTCTCAAGAACCACTGGGCCATTATTCTGAAATTATGTGCACATGGAAGCATCCTGAGATGTCTACCAAAATGTCTTAATTTTTGACAGTGGGTAAGGTGAGGTTGCAATATGTATTAAAATAGGAAACTGAAAATTTTCTTCTCAGGTGCTCGTGGCCCATAAGCCAGATAAACTACCTGTTCAGACTTTATGAAAAGGGAATCTTCCAGAATTGTGAATTTCAAGGCAGCGTGAGGGTTTAGGGGGGGGGGGCTGAATGATACTGAAAATGAATGGTTTGAAATCTGCTTTTTGGTATTAATTAGATATTTTATAAAAGCAAGGATGCCTTTTCAAAAATTGTGCAATGTGTGGATCTAGGCCTAAGGGTGAGGGATTCATGTGTGGTATATTTAAATATTTTTTTTGTAGAATGTAAGAGACAAACACAATGATAATATCTAAGAATGTTAATCTGCCAATCATTTTTTAAGACAAAATTTAAGTTCCATTTTTTAATGATTAGTTAAAAATTAATGACATCAATTTTTGATTATAAACAATTCGAATTTAATATAGATGCATTGAACAAAGGACGTGTAAAATTTTTTGCAATGAGCTGCAAACTTTGGGAATTTTACTTCAAATTAAATTTTATGGGTAGGGAAATAAAATTGGCTTTTATACACCAAGGCTTAATATTTTATGTTGAGTTTCATGTATAAATTTTTTCACATTTTCGACTTCTTCTCAAGAACCACTGGGCCAATTTTAACCAAACTTGGTACAAAGCATCCTTAAATAAAGGAGAATTTAAATTGTTAAAATAAAGGGCCAAATCCCCTCACAAGGGGAGATAATCAAGAAAAACAAAAATAGGGTATTTCATTTCAAAAGTCTTCTTCTCAAGAAACACTGGGACAGAAAAGCTGAATCTTTTGTGGAAGCATACTGGGGTAGTGTAGATTCGAAATTGTTGAAATGTTGACCCCTAGGGGTAGGGCGGGGCCACAATGGGGAATCAAAGTTTTACATAGAAATATATAGGAAAAATCTTTATTAATTTTCTTCTCAAGAACCACTGGGCCAGAAAAGCTGAAACTTTTGTGGAAGCATCCTGGGGTAGTGTAGATACTAAATTGTTCAGATCATGACCCCAGGTGGTCCGTCGTGGACCACAATGGGGACTTGGACACAGTTTTACATAGAATTATATAGGAAAATCTTTGAAAATTTTCTTCTCAAGAACCACTGGGCCAGTTATATAACTTATGTGCACATTTCACATCCTGGGATAGTGTAGATTTCAAAATGTCTTAATTATGATCAGTGGGCTAAGGTGAGGTTGCAATATGTATTAAAAGGGGGAAACAGAATGGTTAGCTTCTCAGGTGAGCGACGTGGCCCATGGGCCTCCTGTTCAGACTTATAGTGAAAAGAATGCTTAAAAAAAGCTTGTTTATAGCTGGTTTCAGCGCTTTTTGTGAGGGTTTAATGAGCCATTGAATATTAAAACTTTTAGGCCAGAAAAATAAAGACAGACGTAGAAATGTTAGGAATAACCAGTGTCTGATGTTGTCAAAAGACATGAGTGTATTCTGTTACATGTATAGAAAGGGATATGAACACTTTGTCTCGTGTACACTGCACAAAGTTGTGTTAAATTCAAAATTTTCCATTTATAACCCAATTAATCATCAAATTTAGACATAAAATACGAATTTAATATGGATTTGGGATTTACTTAGGAGTAAAATTTTTTGCAAACTCCTAAATTAAATAATTGTGTGTTAAATTTTAATTATAGATAACATAAAAATCTTTTTATACACCAAGCTTAATATTTTATGTTGAGTTTCATGTATAAATTTATTATTTTATTTCACTTTATTCATGACATTTAATATATTTATAACACCAAGTTTAGGATTTTAAGTGGAATATCACATATAATTAACTATTTTATTTCACTTTTTCGACATATTATAGTTTTATACATCAAACTTAATATTTTGTGTGGAGTTTCATGTATAAATATATTATTTTGTTTCAATTTTAGGTCACCTGAGTAAACTCAGGTGACCTATTGCTATCCTGTGTCGTCAAGTACCTTTCGTGTGTTAACATTTGAACATTTTCAGCTTCTTCTCTGCAATCACTGAACCAATTTCAACCAAATTTGGCACAAAGCATCTATGGGGGAAGGGGAACAAAAATTGTGAATTTCATGATCCCTGCCCCCCCCCCCCCCCCCCCGGGGCCTGAGGGGTGGGGCCAAAACCACTAAAATTAATGCAATCTTTAAAAATCTTCTTCTTTACTCCTAAACATCAAGCAGTCAAACTGTTTGCATGATTGTAAACAGCATTGAGTCCTCTACCAAAATTGTGAAAT